ATTACAGATCTTGTATTAATGGAAATATTGAGATGTACCAAGTCTGAATGGAATCAGATGTTAATAACGCGTTTTAAAGGCTTCAAAGATTTTTAAATTTGACCCTTTGTGGGGGAGGGGGACCAGAAGGAGTGGACCGATATACCCCATCTTTATAGCAGATCTTGTGTTAGTAAAAATAATAGGACGTGTGAAATATGAAGAGAACCGGATGCTTATTTCGGATTTTATAATCGTTTTGGTTATTCAAAACTTTGTCGGGAGGATATTAGTAAAACCATTGCAGAATGGACCCACGTCCAATTTTTCTGCCCACAACTATGCCAATGTCTTCAAATTTCAGAATTTTAGTTTAATTTATTCCCCTCAAAATCTAATTATATAACATAAAATACTAATATCCCTAGCAATCTACATCTCTCCACCAAGGCACTAGGAGTGATCCAAAATTAGTAGGATTTGCAAAAATCTCCACCAGATCTCAACACCAGATACCAATAGAAACACCGATGTCAAATTGCGGTATTTTAGCTCTATGCATTCATTTAATACCAAATTTAGTACTTTTCGAACAATTATAGTACACACTTCCAAAACCAACTCTACACCTCAATCCCCGATGCCAACAGAGATCTCAATATCAAATTTGATTTCAGCCTTATCGTTTAATCCAAAACCAAATTTACTACCATTCAGTACTTTTCGTACAAAAATATAGGGAACATTTCCATACCAACACCAAATCTCATACACTGATACGATCAGTAATTATACCCTCAGCCATATGGCTACAGAGGGTATATATCATTTGATACGGTCAAAACGTGCCTAGTCGAAATAACGGTTTTAGACCCTAGGTCTCTTTGGACCAAATCCGTTTCAGAACATTTGGAGTCGATCTAGCGATGTCCGTCCGTCCGTCTGTCTGTCTGGCTGGCTGGTGCGCACGATAACTCTTGAAGGGAGTATCCGATTTGGTCCAAACTTGATACATCGTAATATTTTTGTCAAACTTAGATCGAGTTCGGAGATGGGCAATATCGGTCCACTCCTTCTGGTACCTCCCCCACAAAAGGTCGAAATTTTCAAAAAAATTATTTTTTGCACAGAAAGAGAAGCGATAAACCGATTTTGCCCCAACTTTGCAAATCTTAATATTTGCGTCAGTGTTACCATTCATATCGGTCCACTCCATCAAGTACCTCCCCCACAAATGGTCAACATTTTGAATAATTACGACTCTCATAATATGTGATGTAAGAGTCCGATTGTCTTCAAATTTCACACATGCCAATATTTATGTTAGCCCAAGGTCTGATGTTAAGATGGAATATATCGGTAAATTCCTTCTGGTACCTCCCCCACAAATGGTCGAAATTTTAACAAATATATATTTTTTGCACAGAAAGAGAAACGATAATCCGATTTTGCTCAAACTTTGCAAATCCTGATATTTACATCAGTTCTAGGTCAGGTGCAAAAATGAATAACATAGGTCCACTCCATCAAGTACCTCCCCCACAAAAGGTCGAAATTTTAAATAATTACAACTCTCATAAAATGTGATGTAAGAGTCCGATTGTCTTCAAATTTCACACATCTTAATATTTATATTAACCCAAGGTCTGGTGTTAAGATGGAATATATCGGTCCACTCCTTCTGGTACCTCCCCCACAAAAGGTCAAGATTTTCAAAAAAAATAAAATATATAAAAAAATATATAAAAAAATTATTTTCTGCACAGAAAGAGAAACGATAATCCGATTTTGCTCAAACTTTGCAAATCCTGATATTTACATCAGTTCTAGGTCAGGTGCAAAAATGAATAACATAGGTCCACTCCATCAAGTACCTCCCCCACAAAAGGTCGAAATTTTAAATAATTACAACTCTCATAAAATGTGATGTAAGAGTCCGATTGTCTTCAAATTTCACACATCTTAATATTTATATTAACCCAAGGTCTGGTGTTAAGATGGAATATATCGGTCCACTCCTTCTGGTACCTCCCCCACAAAAGGTCAAGATTTTCAAAAAAAATAAAATATATAAAAAAATATATAAAAAAATTATTTTCTGCACAGAAAGAGAATCGATAATCCGATTTTGTTCCAACTTTGCAAGTCCTGATATTTACATCAGTTCTAGGTCAGGTGCAAAAATGAATAACATAGGTCCACTCCATCAAGTACCTCCCCCACAAAAGGTCGAAATTTTGAATATTCATCACGCTCTTAAAACACTTGAACACGATTCCATTCCAAAGAATCCGAAATAAACATCCAGTTCTCTTCATATTACACACGTCCCATTATTTCTACTAACTCAAGATCTGGTGTGAAGATGGGATATATCGGTCCACTCCTTCTGGTACCTCCCCCACAAAAGGTCAAAATTATGAGTATCCATGAAGTTCATAAAACGCAAAATTATCATCCGATTCTATTCAAACTAGGATGATGTATTTTATCTGTATTAGATGAAGTGTGAAAATGGAATACTTCGGTCCGCTGTATCTGTTACCTGACGCATATTTCCATTTTCCGAAAAGGTGCACATACCTCATATAAAGTACAAGAAGTAGTCGATATAGTCCAAATCTGTCACGTTCGTAACTCAAGGCTGAGGGTATACATCTGTCGGCAAAACCGACTGATACTATTTTACTTGTTTTAATATTAAATTGAATTTTATCACTATTTCTTCACTTATTACCAAATATAGTACCATTTCGTACTTTTCGTACACTTATTGTATACATTCCCAAAATCGCCTCTAAATTTCAACCACAGACACCAACAGTGATATCCGTATGAAATTTCAGATTCTTAGCTCCATTCCTTTGCCCAATGCCAAAGTTAGTACCATTCAGTACTTTTCGTACAATTATAGTACATATTTCGGAAACCCCCTCCTTATTTCCAGGCTACACATGAACAGTGACCCTAGTTTCGGATTTTATACACTATCAGTTCAACCAATGCCAAATTATACCAAATATAACCAAATATAAATTTTCCAAAACCGCTTATCACAAACCCACCTTTAACAGGGGCCCCAATACAAAATGTTTAAATTGCAGCTTCATCCGTTCATCCTAAAACAAATTAAGAATTCTATCTCTATTCCTTTGCCGAATACTAAATTAAGTACAATTTAGTACTTTCGTACAAATATGGGAGGAATTTCCAAACCACTGCCATATTTCAAACACAGATACCATTAGTAATTTAAGTAGCAATTTTGAGGATTCTAGTCCTATTTCTTTGCCCAATACCAAATTAAGTACCATTTAGTAATTTTCGTACAATTTTAGTACCAATTGCCGAAATCAACTCCATATGTCCAGACTACATGAAATGCCAAATAATACGAAATTTCAGATTTTAAGGGCTATCTTTCCAGCCAATACAAAATTGTACCAAATATAGTACTATTTAGTACTTTTCGTGTACTTGTAGTAAACATTTCCCAAAATTACCTACTAATCACAAATATACCACCAACAGGGACTCGAAATACAACATTTCAAAATTCCTCTTCATCCGTTCACCATAAACCATATTGTTTCAAATTTAGTACCATTTAGTACAATCCGCTCACATAGCTCACATTTTTGAGATTATCTTCGTATTTCAAACGTATATTCCATTTTTGATTCTCATTCCAAATTCTCAGCTTTTAACTCTATCCGTTCTTAAAATACAAAATTGCACCATTTTAGAAGTTTAGTACTATTTTTGAACTTTTCGTAGACTTTAGTTCGAATTTTCTTTTGGTACATTTATCCTGCTCTCCATCTGCGAGTCTCATTCCAAATTTCAGAAATCTAGCTCATATTGTTTGTCCAGTTCAAAATATTTTTTTATTTTAAATTCTAGTACATTTTAGTACTTTTCGTACTTTTTCAGTACGAATTCCCCCAAACCCTGACATATCACAGGCCTGTGCACCAAGACTGATCCTCGTGCTAAATTTCTAACTTCAGCCGTCTGAGCGTTGATTCACAGTCAGTTATTTCACTAATATTCTATATATAAATGGACCCTAAAAAAGTTTGGCCTGTCAACCTAAATTCCTATCTTTCGAACGAAAAGTTCGTAAATGGACCACGTAGGTCCACGTTTTCATATAGCCCCCATATAGTTTTAGTATTTGAAGTTCGAAATGGATACTACAGCCTTAGACAGAAAATTATCTGTACAGGTCCACGTCTTGGTATAGCCCCCATATAACGGTACGTTCCAATATTCGGTATTTTGATGATTTCAGCGTCATTTTTCACCGGATTTGTTTCAAATTACGTATTTTGAGTTCGCTATGGGAACTACAGTCTGTGACAGAAAATTGTCTATGCAGGTGCAGGTCTTCGTTTAGGCGCAATATATCACTACCTCCCTATATTCGGTATTTTCACTAGTTTAGGTACAAGAACTACCGAAATTTTTTGAGATATCGTATTTGAAGTTCGTAATGCTACAGCCTGTTACAGAAAATTGTCTATGCTCGTCCAGGTCTTCGCACAGCTCCGATATAACGATACCTCTCTATAAACGATATTTTGATGATTTTAGCTATATTATTCACCGTTTATTTCAAGTTTCGAATTGGAATATGGTAATGGTCTACGTACGTTGCGGTCCTCGTCGTATAGACCCCAATATAACGGCTATATTCAGTATTTTTAACATTTTAACAGAATTTTTTTAAGGATTTATTTGTTGAAAAATTCCACATTCGTTCCAAATGGTTGGCATTGAAAGTTCGATCCGGCCGAACTTCTTGCTTTTTAACTTGTTAATATTGTTTCATTAGTTCTTTTTAACTTCTCTCTCTATCTCTCTCCCTCTCTTACACTCTTTGAATTATTTCACTTTTAATAACAGCATGGCGTATGATTATTATAATATCCCAATCATAAAGTATACGCCCCATATCCCACTCTCAATAATTGATATTAATTAAATTATGTTTCCTGGTTCTTTTTTTCGTTTTGTAGGATCAAGACCAAGTACGTATTCCTGAAGAAACCGAACTTAATAACTCAAAAATGACGGTCAACAGTGCTGCCAGTGGTAGCGGTGATGAGCAGCAACAGCAGCAGGCCAACAGCAATCCAAAGCAAGCAAACGGCAATGGCAAGAGTATAGCAGGAGGACACGATGATCCAACGAATGACAGAGATGATGCTACATGATTTTTTGGGCAATGCCTCTGTTCTGTTGACAAATTAAGACACCCACACTCATAGACATGTCCCCCAAACCAAAACCCAACGTAAAAACACACGCACACATACACCAAACTAACAACACATACAGATACCGAGAGACACACACTGAGAGACCGACACATATGCTTAGTCGAAAAAATATGATGAAGATAAACAAATGAATGGAGGATACTGGATGATGGATGGATGGCAGGATGCATGAAATATACTGAAGTTTTACGGTTGGTTAGAAAACAAACGAGTGATATTAAGACAACAACAGCAGCACAACAACAAACAAAGAATGCTACATCATTGAGCGAACGAAGAGATATGTTTATGAAGAAATGTCAACTTTTCCCCACCCCTCTACACAAACACACACACCAACAAACTTTTATGTTTTTTGATAAATAGTCTTTAAATAAATTATTCATAATTATTATATTTTTAAAGCAACAAAAAAAGAAAACAAACAACACCAAGAATAAAAAATTGTGAAATTTATATCTTAAATTAATGCAATTTAGGGAGAAGGATGCTTAGAAGCCAATAAAGAAAAAAAAAAAAAAACAATAATGTCTGCAAAATTTTATTGTTAGAAATTTGAACAGATGTTCGAAGAAATTATCATAAAATTTTAATAAAGTAATAAACACACAAAAAAAGAAATTAAAATGAAATTGAGAAAAAAAGAAGGAATATTTTTTCTATGGGTTCTTTTGAAGACGAATTTGCATTTCACATTGAAAGAGGATTTCTCCCTGGAACTCATACCAAGGCATTGGATATTAGCCGGAGGTTATATAAAACTAAGAACATTTATATTTTATTACATGGCGTTTAATTTTGAAATTCAATTTATTCAAGAAAAAAACTTAATTTCTCTATCTAAATTCTTTCTACAGAAAGTAGATTAAATGATCTTCTACTTTCTCAATAGGATTCATTTTCACAGGTGCTATATAGCAACGTTTGTTGTACTTGTCCATTTCTAGTTTAAACAAGAGTCTAGAAATGTGCCGTCTTAAAAAAATCGACTCCGACTCCAGATCCGTTTTCGGAGTTCAAGTGTAGGAATCGAGCAATGTCGCCGTCTTGATCCCTTTTCTCTTTTTCAAAATTTTTGATCTGACAAAATTGGTTAATGGTGGCAGTAAAAAATAAAAAAAATCATCTGACTCAGCCTATGAAAATTTACCACGCATATGCATCGATCCTGTGGTCATTGAATAAAAAAACTACACTTTTTTGAGCCGGAAGTTCTTAAAGGATATCATACTTTAGATTGTTAAGAATTTGGCGGTAATTACAAGTTTTTTAAGACTCTTTCTTATTGGGCAATAAAACTCGAATGATCAATGGAAATAAAGAAAAGGTAAAACCTTATAGGCCAGTAAGAAACAGTCTTGAAATACAAATAAAAGCCCGTAAGGAAAAGTCTAAAGCCTACACCACTTTAAAGTAGATCATACCACCTATCAACATTTCGCTTTAGAGCAGTTATAATTTGTTTTCAGAGGGAACTATATATGGGAGGCATATCCAATTCCGAATCGATTTCCACTAAATTTGATGGAGACATTTTTATCTTTTATTCCAAATAACATTGCTATAAAGTACATGATATCACTTCGAGTAGGATTTTATTAAAAAATATGTATCGGAGCCGAGTTCCACCAAATGGAAGCGTACGTCCCATTATTTGCACAATAAACCTTGAATCGGAACTATATCCAAATCTTAGCCGATCTTGAAAAACTTTGGCAAATATATTTCCGAGCTCTATAAGATATTTAGTACCTAATATTATTGTAGTCGAATGCATATTACGAATTTGAGGCATTTGAATATCAAATCGGATGAAACATATGTATGGGAGCTATAGCTATATCTGAATCAATTTTAGCGTGCTTCTAAACTGAATTCGGTGCGATGTGCCAAAAATCAGCTCATTTGTTATTGACCATGTGCATGTGCACAATTAACCCAAAATCGGTTGAATATATATTTGAGCTATATCTAAATCTGAACCGTTCCAAATATCATTCTTGTTGAGTGCCAAATATCATTCTTGTTGAGTGCATATTACGAATGTATGGGACTTCACCATCAATTCACTTTCTTCTAGAATGAATTCGGTCTGCTGCATCAGGTAATTTGGACTGATATTGGCCATTTAGGGAACAATTAACCTGAAATCGATTGAAGACGTATATTTTTTTACTTACTAATTGTTCTTAAAAATCGGGCCTTCTGGATATGAAGTCTCCAAAAAAGGTTTTAGCAAATCGACGATTTTCGGGTACTTAGGCCTTACAACTATTCCTTCAGAATCCACGATATATGGATATGAAGTCCTTAGAAGTATTAATTCAAAGTATCCACTATCGTGCACGGTAATTTATCGAAAATAAGTTCTTCAAAATCCACAAATTTCCACAGAATATAAGTGAGAATGCAGTTAAAGTTTTCAAAATACCAAAGAGTGGGTGGAAATTATATGAGTGCAATACCAAGGTTTTGAACGAATACACAATTTCTTTAAATGTGGCTAATATTATCTAAACGGAGGCCGTGAGCCTATATACAGGGTGAGGAAAAAAAACTGCAACAAAGTCAAACGCCATATTTTTAATATTTTTTTTAATTTTATTAAATTAATGCAAAAAATTTCGGAAATTGCATCAAATTTTAGAATGAGTTTAGATTTGTTCGAATTGGTCATCTTTGGCACGAATTATGACCTTCAAACGATCAATGAAACCGTCACACGCTGCCCGAATGTTGCTATGCGGTATTTCGACCCATTCCCGGCGAAGCGCTTGCTTGAGGTGACCGACACTTCGGTATTTTTAGTGCCAACATTGCTTTCCAAAACACTCCAGACACAATAGTCCAACGGATTGGTATCCGCAGATTTTTGTGCGCTGGAAATGAAGCGAGAAACATCATTTTGTAACCATTCTTGGGTGGCCCGTGCTGAGTCCTGTTGGAATGTCCAAGGTCTGCGGCCAAAATGTTTGCGTGTCCAAGGCTTTAAAACACCCTCCAGAAAATTTTTCGCGATAATATTCGGCATTTACACTAATGCCACGGTCGATTAATACGAGCGAGGAGCGACCATCGGCTATTATGGCGGTACACCATCACCATGGCCGGCGCTTAAATTTTGGTGGCCAACCGAAGGCGCTTGAGTTTTGGTGGCCAACCAAAGGCGCACATTTTCAGCAGACCTCTTTGGCAAGTAAACACAATCATTTTCTTTGTTTAGGAACTGCTGGACAGTTCGCCACTTTCGGCCAAGTGAAGCCACTCTTTAGCTCTTTTGAGTCCATTTTCTTTCTGCTACTGTGTAAGTTTTTCCACTTTTTGGAATTTCAATGGCCTTACCCCGTGCTCATTTTTCAATAATTACAGAATGGAATATTGCGATATGTTCAGCTTACGAGCCATTTTTCGGCCACTGCGACGCGGGTCGCTTCTTTAGTTTTCAACCCATTTCTGCTGATGTTGCTGAAGTCGGGCTACGCTACCAATATCACGGTAACGAGCAATGGTACGAGACACAAAAGATTTATTCACATTTAAAGGCTGGAGTGCTCTAACGATAGCCACTTGTGGATTTCCCGCCAAATATAAAGAAATCACACTATCACGCTTGAGTTCCATCACGAATAACTTTTTTGCTAAAAACTTCTCATCAAAAGGCTTTTGTACGCTACTAAACAATATAATGAGCTGTCACTGGAATAATTTTAACAGCTTTCGGACGAGTGGCTTAGAAATGACAGCAGTCTGAAGTTGGTTGCATTTTTTTCATCTCTCCCTGTGTGGATCTCTTGTCTCACCGAACTAAGTCGATTTATCTATGTAAGTCCGTCCGTTCGTCCGTCCGTCTCTACAGGTCGCAATTATGACACGATTCTCATGAAATTGAAAATTTTAGGTGGGTTATGCTCAGCCTATTGTTTGTGGAGATGATCCCACAATATTTAGGGATGGAAACGGATCAAAAACAGAAAAAAACCTGATTTTGCAATTGCTCTACATGTTGCAATTTTAGACCAATCGAAGCAAAATTTAGCATCGAGTTAGACTTTAGGGCTGGGCAGGAGGAGCCTACTTATTTGGACGGTCATTGGACAACATGTAGCGGGTGAAATAGACCCTATTTTTTATGTAATAAATCCTGGCAAAACCAGAAATGTACGTAGATGTCACTTCTGACCATTATATTGACGCGGATATCCAAAATATCGGATATATAGCAAATTTGGTACAACGGTAAATTAAATTGATCTTAGTTATTTCGCTTATAAGTTAAGAAGCGCTGAGCTGATTTTTACAATTCTTTCAAATTTGAAATGGCCCCTTGCCAGAAAAAGTACAATGTAAGAAAATTGCGGAAAAATATGCCGATAGAAAAATTAATATTTGTGTATCTTTTTTCCAATTTTTGTCATATTTTTCATCGTATACGTCTTTTTCAATTTGATTTACAATTTTGAATTGTACATTTTGTAAAATTAGTTTTTTTACTACAACACTACGTGTTGAGAGTAGTACATTCAAGTCACAATTATTGTCCGATTCTTAAGAAATTAAGCATGCGTATAGGGTTGGGGTCAGAATTGAAGCCCATAGTTTTTCAAGATGTATATTTAGGGGTTCAAATGGACCAACAATTAAAAATTTCCTGATCCTGCAGTGGTTATACAGGTCACAATTAAAAACCAATCCACACGGAAGTTTGCATGAGGTTAGGGTTTTGGGCAGCCCAGAAGTGTAGCTTTTTGGACGACCCTTGAATTATATTTAGTGGGTGAAGTGGACCATAACTTTTGTGTAAAATTGTTTTGGATATCTATCTGCATGACATCGAGTGTAAATATAAGGAAAATATCCCCTGTAAAAAATCAAAGGCAACATTTGTGCAGGGCAGTATGGCATTATTTCAAATAATCGGCTAAAATGTGTTTGGACCCAAGGCGGTTTTACAATATATTATAGTGTTGAAGGGTATCACATGGTCGGCTCAGCACGGCTGTAGCCTTTGCTTACCTGTTCTTATTATAAGAAATACTTTTAAAAAAAATTCTTTATATATATTACCTTGTTAAAATATCTTGTTCGGGTTTAATAGTCGTAGAATATCTTCTATTTGTCTCTCGATGCATAAAAGACTCTTCAAGAACCATCAGCGGTTTGTTGTTATCAACTCTCTTTCAAGTGCATTATTAGGGACTCATTGGCATTTCAATGGCTATAGCCTTGTTTTTCCCCGCTTCGCAATTGACAAAGTTTCGCAAATAAGCAATGTACCTTCTATTCTATTGATATTCCGTTTCAATTTTCATAACGAATAAATTTCGTTTTGATTCACAAATTGAGTAGACAAATTGAAAATTCCTTGCAATTGCTGTGCAAAAAAAAAAAAAAACAAAAAGAAATCCCCTGTTTATCCATTTCGATGCGAATGTTATGAACTGCAAATGGCATTTCGGAGCTATGGTGTTTTGCTGTTGTGCGGGCGGCGTTACTGGTGGAGGAGTTTTGTAAGTGTGGGTGTGTGTGTG